CCTCAACATCTCTTTAGAAGTCATGAGCCCAAGCCCCCTAATAATTTTTATTGTCCTCTGCTGGACTGTCTCCAACTTGTACACATCCTTTCTGTAGTGGGGGCCCAAAACTTGACACAATATTCCAGATGTGGCCTCACCAGTACTGAATAGAGGGAAATGATCACTTCCCTCAGTCCGCTGGCAACACTCCTACTAATGCAGACCAGTAGCCCAATGCTACAAGGGAACACTGTTGCCACAGATTCAGCTTATTGTCCACTGTAACCCCCAGGTTCTGCAGAGCTGCTGCTTAGCCAGTCAGTCTGCAGGCTTTACCCCTGCATGGGATTCTTCTGTCTTAAGTGCATGACTTTGCATTTGTCCTTATTGAACCTCATGAGATTTCTTTTGCTCCAATTCTCCCAATTTGTTGAGGTCTCTGTGAATCCTAGCTTTGCCCTCCAGTGTCTCCACTATTCCCCCCAGCTTGGTGTCATCTGCAGACTTGCTGAGGGTATACTCCATCCCATCTTCCAGGTCATTGATGAAGATATTGAACAAAACCAGCCCCAGAACAAACCACTGGAGCCACTCCACTTGATACCAGTTCCCAACTGTATATCAAGCCACTGAATACTACCCTTCAAATCTGATGAACCAGCCAGTTTTCTATCTATCCTACAGTCCATTCATTCAGCCCATATGTCCTTTTCTGAGCTTGCTTGCGAGAATGTTGTGCAAGACGGTAACAAAAGCCTTGCTAAAATCAAGGTATATCACATCCACTGCTCTCCCTGCATCCGTAGAGTCAGTCATCTCATTATACAAGGCAATCAGGTTGATCAGGCATGAGTTGCCCTTGGTAAATCCATGCTGACTGTTCCTAATCATCTTCTTGTTCTCCAAGTGCTTAGAAATGGGTTCCTTGATGACCTGCTCCATTTTTTTTCCAGGGACTGAGGCAAAGCTGATTAGTCTGTAGCTCCCTGGATTCTCCTTCTTCCTTTTGTTTTCAAAATGCACACTATATTTGCCCTTTTCCAATAATCTGGAGCCTCTCCTGATTGCCACAAGTTTTCAAAGATATTGGTCAGTGGCTCTGCAGTTGCATCAGCCAACTCCATCTGCGCCCTTGCGTGCATTGTGTCTGGCCCCATGGACTTGTACACATCCAGCCTTTCTAAATAGTACTTGACCTGTTCTTTTGCCACTGTTGGCTGCTCATCTCCTCCCTGAATTGTACTGCCAGGTGCTGCAGTAGCCTGGGAGCTGACTTCGTCTGTGAAAAAAGTACTTCAGTCTTTTCTCATTGTTTGTCACGAGGCTGTCTCCCTCATTCAGTAAGAGACCCACACTTTCCCTGATCTTCTTGTTGCTGACATACTTGTAGAAACCTTTCTTGTTACCCTTCACATCCCTTGCTGCAACTCAAATTGCACTTTAGCCTTCCTGATTTCATCTCTGCATGCCTGAAGTATGGTTTTACACACCTCCCAAGTTGTTTGTCCAAGTTTCCACTTCTTTTAAGCTTCCTTTTCGTGTTTTAGCTCACTGAAGAGTTCCCTGCTAAGCCCAAGCTGGTCTTCTGCCATATTTGCTAGTCTTCCTGTGAGTTGGAATGGTTTGTTTCTATGCTCTCGGTAAGATGTCTTTTAAAATACAGTCGGCTCTCCTGGACTCCTTTCCCCCTCAGTCTGGCCTCCCAGGGGATCCTGCCCATTATTTCCCTAAGTGAGTCCATGTCAGTTTTTCTGAAGTCCAGGGTCCTTACTCTGCTGCTTGCCTTCCTTTCTTTCCTGAAAATCCTGAACTCAGTCATCTCTTAGTCGCTACTGCCTAAGTTGCCATCTGCTAGTACATTCCCCAACAATTCTTCCCTCTTTGTGAGTATCAGGTCAAGAAGAGCACAGCCCCTAGTTGGCTGATCCAACACTTGCACCTGGAAGTTGTCCCCAATATTTTCCAAAACTTCCTGAACCACCTGCACACTGCTGTATTGCCCTCCCAGCAGATGTCAGGGTGATTGAAGTACCCCATAAGAACCAGCGCCTGTTATCAGGAAACTTCTGTTAGCTGTTTGAAGAAAGCTCCATCCACCTCCTGGTCTGGTGGTCTGTAGCACACACCCACTACGACATCACCCTTGTTGCGCTTCCTTCTGACCCTAACCCTAAGACTTTCAACAGGCCTATCTCCAGTTTCATACTAGAGATCTGAGCAGCCATACAGCTCTTATACATAAAGTGCAACTCCTTTTCTCCGCTGCCTGTCCTTTCTGAACAGCTTATCCCATCCATGACAGTTCTCTAGTCTTGCAAGTTATCCCATGTCTCTGTTATTCCACTCACTTTATAGTTCTGTGACTGTGCGAGGACTTCCAATTCTTCTTGCATGTTTCCCAGGCTCCATGCATTCATGTACAGACACCTGAGGTAACTGTCCAATTGCCCTATTTTCTCAGGAAGAATGAGAAGTCTTCCCCAGTTGCCACCTCTTGGGCTGACCAGTTTTCTTCTCCACTTGGCCAGGAGGTCAAATGAAACTGGAAGCAATCTACTGCAAAGTGCTTTGGAGTTCTTTCAATTTCATCTGGGGGGTTTTTATACAGTATAGGCTGATTTCTAGTGCTGTAATGCTGTGTATCATCTGTTTGTTGTCTTTTTATTACACTTTGAAACTTCTTATAGTGCTTGTTCCTTACCTAAAGTGATAAGTTATAGACGAAAAAGAGGGGAGAACCTGGAGATACACCCCTCTGGGATCCCCACATCAAGTTAGAGGTGATTGAGAGACTATTCAGTAGGACCGGTTTAAAGAAGCGGAGGGAGGATGGACCAGGACAGGACAGTCACAGAAACCAAGGAGAATGACGTTTTGTGAAAAGCATTTTGAGTATTGAAGGCAGCTGACAGGTCAGAGGATGAGGATAAGGATGAAGTACTTGTTTTGGCTTTAGCTAAGACAGGGGCAGGCAAAATACAGCCCACAGGCCGAATTCGGCCTGCCAGGGCATTCTGTGCAGCCCGCGGAGCACCTACAAAGTTTAGAAGATTAATATTAATCTGCTACAGGTTCCCTGTCAAAGCTGACAGGAGCTATGGGCACTAGGATCCAGGGGAAGCTGGCAGGAGTCAGGAGAAAGGCGGGGCTGGGCTGGCCTGTTTCCCCACCTCCACCTGGAAGTCTCTGCCTGCTGGAGCTTTCCCTGCATGTGGCTTCTCTAGCACCACGTGGCCCCAGCTGCATCACTGGACCATGGGAGCAGGGGCACGCTGGTTCCCTGGAGTCGGGAGAGGTAGGAGGGGTTGTGTGTGTGTATCCGTACCATGAGGGAGGGGGAGACAGAGAGAGCAATGAGGGAAGGAGGGGGAGAGACAGAAGAGAGAGAGATTGTGTGTGTGTGTGTGTGTGTGTAGTGAGCAAAGCACAGAGTGTGTGTGCACGTGTGTGTGGTGAGAAAGCACAGTGTGTGTGTGTGTGTGTACGCGCGTGCATGTAGTGAGCAAGCACAGTGTGTGTGTGTGTGTGTGTGTGTGCGTGCGTGCAGTGAGCAAAGCACACTGCATGTGTGTAATGACCACACCCATATCCCACACACTTATCCAGCCCCACAAACCCCCCACATACCCACAGCCCCCCACAAACCTTTACCCATCTCCTCATGCCCTCCGCAGTATACAAGAGTAAGACTTCATTTTAAGCTATTGTGCAATCACCTCTATGTATACTACACAAACACATGTAAATCAGGACAAAAGTATTTTTTGAAATCAAATTAATGAATGTTGTAGATGTTTGCTGTTTGCAATATAATTCAGTGTTTTTCTGGTTCTGAGATGGTAAAACCCTTTGCTGAAAGGAGTATTTTGGGGGACAAAGAGAGAGGCTTCTGGTGGCAAAAGGAGGGGGCTGGGGGAGGGACTTCTGGGGCAACTCTCCACCCAAAATAATTGCCTACCCCTGAGCTAAGAACATGAGAGACTTTTTCACGAGTTATTTCAGTGGTGCTCAAAAGGTAGATTGCTGGATTGGAAATCTTCCAAGATGGAATTGGAAGAAAGAAATTCCAGAGAAAAGTCAAGATAGGAAAAGGCAAGCATTTGAGAAGTAGTCAAAGATGGTGAAAATACAGTTGAGATTTGCAGTGGGGATTTAGCAGGCTATATAGCTAATTATTTTGTTAGAAAGATGGCAGAAGTTAAAGAAAAGTAAATGCATAGGGCAAATCAGCCTAGTCACAGTATTTCTACTAGAGGTGCTCCACAACACAAGAGCAAGAGTTCAGGAAGCAATTGCTAGGAATGAGCCAAGGCTGGGAATTGGCAGGGTTAACTTGTAGTAGGAAAAGAGATAAAATAATTGTAGGTGGAAGAGAGTAAAGCATGGAGAATCAATGACCATATTATATTGATGGAAGAAAGAGGGAATAGAGGAGAGAGTAAACTGCTGGTCAGTTGGAAGTCTTGGATAGGCCAAGTGACTGAGTGAAGGGGACATAGATGAGTGATGCTGAAACAGCTCAGGTGGAAAAGAGGAACTCAGAATTAGATCTGAGAGTGTAGTGCCTTGTAAAGATCAAGTAAAGTAAACAGCCCCTTAGTTGAATGCCATTTTTTTCAAACATGGGTGGAGTAATTGTGTTTATAAACCAAATATGTCATGTTGTATAGAGCCCTAAAGACCTGAGCCTTTCAGAACTGCACTCTAAAGAGAGCCATTAAAATACTGGGTTTTTAGCACTATGTTAATAACTTGTTAATATTTGTTATCTTCAAGCATAATATATTATAATGTGTTAGATTATGGCAGTTATGTGATTAGGATAGAATATCATTGTAAATAATAACTACCTTGATATCTTTGTATAGGCAAAAAAACTAGACTAGCACCTTCCTTCTTCATGTGTTTGAGTTTTTCTTGCTTGTTGTCCAATTAAGTTTTAAAATGCAGTAATTCCATAACTAGCATGAAGCTAGCTGTATTCATCATACATCTAATTGCTTATATTTGCTATGCAGAAATTTCAAGACATCGAAGAGGCGCATCTCCTTCACATGAAAGAGATTATAGAATCATTTTCAAACACTATGAAAGAAATTCACTTACAAATAGGGCAGGTGAGTTTATTTTATATTGATCATCGTATTAATCCAACTATGAACTATAATTTATATTTAAGTTATCAGAAGTAATGTTGTTTACTGCCTTTGCAGCAATGGCATGGTCTGGTCTGTGACACTGAAGTGAAATGAAATGATCACAGTTACTATAAAAAAAAAAAAAAAGAGCCAGAAAAAAAAAAGTTAACATTTTGTTAATAAAAGCTAGGAAATTCAAATGCATAGTTGTCACAGCTACTATAATATATCATTCTTTTGCCTTTGTAAGACTTTATTGCGGTAGATTATATAAACATGAATGCTGTAAAATGGAAGAACAACTTAGCTTAGGGACTTTGAATTTTTGGACTTTTCAGCATATAAAATCTCAGTTGTAATGTTGTATTGATGTGTTTTGCAAATGATTGTGGCTTTATTGACTGATTACACATTAAACCTATGGGACTGAATTCAAGAGTAATGAGTGGCATTGGGAAACTATATACCAGCAGACAAGTGTAAAATTAGCTTTTCTGTGGGGTGATGCAAGAGGTAAGAAAGACAAACAGGAAGAAAAGCGGGAAGAAAAACAAATAGTACTATAATAAGGTGTATGTATGGCTGATAAATCCTTTTCTATCCTTATACAACCTTCTGTGCATTTTCTCTACTGTAGCCTCATGTGCTAGAATGTAGTTTATACCAATATTTAGATCCCTCCTAGCTTTGTGCCACTATTTTCACATATTTATTATTACATGTATTATATATATTTTGAATTAGACTCCTTACGTACTTACATTTAAATGTTAATACTAAAGTAAGTATGCATATGATGACTAGCTACACTCTTGTACTGGAAACTATAATGAAAGTAATGGATTGATCAGGAATTATCAGGAGTAGATATAAATGAGTTGAGATTGCTCAGCACATGCTGCTTCTGGCAGCAATTTAATGATAGACATTGTAGTTAGTAAGATTTCCTTCTATGCGATTATAAGACAAATGGCTTTTTTCCCCAGACCAGTTGGGGGAAAAACCTCATTTTGTATTTGAATAAATACAGTATTGCGACTCTCAACATTTTTCACTTTATCCCTATAATTATTGATATCCAAGATGCAGTGTTTGCAGTCATTCATATTTTTTCATTTGCTGTATGCTCTGCTCACTATTATAATCCCAAGCATATCTTTACAATTGATAAGAGTTAAGGTTTCCTCATCTGTGATTAGAACACTGTCAGCCATCCACAAAGAAACTGATCTTTTTGTATTCAGTGTGGCATTTATTTGTGATGCTTTAGCCCACATTTGGAAGTGGAGGATATCAAGAAATACTGCAAAAGTGTTCTCTCAGTGAGTGTCATCCGTCTTGCACACTAACAGAGACAGGAGTTTTGTGGAGAAAAAATAATATGTGATTATGTAATTAAATGCTGTATTATAATGTCTAAATGGGCCAAATTTCAGGGTTGCATAGGGAAATTCATTCTTATCTTTCCTAATTAGAGTGCTTGACTTTGCAATCTTAATGTTCCTGTATTGGTTTTTGTTGTTGTTGTTGTTGTTGTTATTGTGAAACTTCTGATGCTCTCTCTCCTTTAGTACTTTGCAGGCCACCATTTTAAGCTAGAGGGGTAGTGGAGAGGTAAAAATAGAACAAAATGTTCCATAGGCCTTGCAGTAGAGAATGTTTCTGTAGGATGTGTGTGAAGCCCCATTGAATTACATTCGATATAGGGCATTTGGAAATTACCAAAAATCAAATAATAAAAAAATATTTTGTCTGATGTCTAAATAGAATTCAGGCCTTTAGAAAAAGCCAGAAAAGCATTACCCATAGATGTTGATGCATCTGACACGCATAACGTTCACATTTGGAATGTATATGCCAGCCTTCTCTAGAAAAGCCTACGAATACTAACCCCAGTGGTGGGTCATATTTCTTAGGGCAGAGACAGCCAAAGTACCAGCCAAAATTATGGAGGTGCCCATCTGCATCCTCTGTTGCTATATTGCCCTGTAAATAAGGAAGTAAGATTTGATGAGAATATTGAGAAAGATGTCAGATCTGGTGTGGAGCTAGTAGCCATCTTTGAAAACCACTTTATCTCATTTCATTGGGTGTGGTCCAGTGTAATCTGGGACAAATGGGTGATGGATTTCTATGCATCCAACTATTATCCTATTCATTTCAGACACTTGCTCCATTCCTCTTCATGAGCCTTAGATCATCTTATTAAAAAGAGTCATTACAACATCAAGAGTCCTCAGAAAATGCTTAGTGGTGGTGCATATGAGAAGGCAGAGCATTCCCATCTACTCCAGTTTGTCCAGATGAATAAGTGAGAGAAAGCACAGATCCTAGAAAATGTTCTATCCCCTATTCATCCAGCTGGGCCTCTTAGCAAACTACAAAAAAGTATCACTAACAAAGACTTAGACAGAAATACTGTTCTTAGAATATCCTGGTGCCTCCAAAATTTGCAGTGCAAATCTTCAGTCAATACATTGGCCATATACTGTATTAACAAGAGATTGTCCATTCATCAGTTCACTGTCTGGAATCCATCAAATCCTGGATGCAATACCATAAGAATGAGATGACACTCATGGCTTTTCACTTCTTGCAAGTCAGAAACAGTCTAGATTTCCAGGCAGACAAGCAGTGATCAATAGCAAATTATCCTTTCACAGATCTGCCAAAGGACCATCTGTAACTGGCTGCCTGTTTTCAGGGGCTGCAGCTGGTAAGAGACTGTTTGCAGGCTATCTACAAGGACTGGGCCAGCTGCAGGGAGTAATTAGCTGGCAGCTAAAAGAGCTCCCTGGGGAACAGAGCCAGGATCAGTCAGGGAGACAGCTGCAGTCTAGAAGTTAGATAGCTACAAGCGAGAGTGGAGTGGGAGAGAGACAGTGGGTCAGCTCAGAGGAGCCCGGGGACCACATTAGGAGTGTCTCTCTCCCACAAGTGCAGCAGAAGGACTGTAAGTGAGCCCTTCCTGTGGCTGAAGGGACCAGATGGATAAGGGAGAGAGCAGACAAGTGGCAGTAGAACCACATCTGAGGACTCTTTGGCTCTGGGACAAAACCTTGTATAACGTAAGCCAGGGGTTTTCAACCTTTTTTAATAAGTGTGCCTCCAGCGGCTGGACACAGAACGCGGGGTGGGGGTGATGTGTGGACAGATGTGGAGCGGCAGCAGAGCTGGGTGGTGGTGACAAAGGCAAAGTCCATCTTGGCTAAGAAGGGGGAACCTGCTAGGACACCCCTTGGAGGAAGTGTGGGTTTGAGGGATGAGGAATAAACCTCAAGAGGCCTAGCAAAGGTATAAGGCCCCTACCCAAGCACAGAAGAGAGTCCATGCCTGTCTACCAGCAAGGACTTGGAATGAAAGAAAAGGGGGACCTACCAGAAAGTGGATAATCCAACTCCAGCAGGGGCAGAGGTGTGGACAGAGGAGGCCCTGACTGCAATTGAGTGGGAGGTGAGCTCTGTGAATGACCCACCTCAGAGGTTCCCCAGAGAGGAGCTGCAGCCAGAAAGGAAAATGGCGACAGTACCAGTAACAGGCATGAAGAGGATTCTGAAGATCCAACCCCAGGATAAGCCAAACCAGAAGGTGAATAGTGATGGGTCAGCCATGTTTGTAAATAACCTGTGTTTCAGTGTAAGATGTAAAAGACTGAAACAAGTGTTCCAGCAGGCAGGAACTGTTGAGATAAGCCAAGGTGTGGAGAAACAGTAAGGGGTCAGCCAAGGCATGGGGACTGTGAGGTCAGAACACTCCTGGGAAGCCTTTCAGGTGGCAGCCCTATTAAATGAATATTTGCTATGTGGTTGTTCCGTGAGGGTAAGAATGGGTAAAGAAACAGTCCCCTGTAGAGGCTGATGAGTGGAGTCTTGTGTAGATATAGTCACCCTGGAACTTGGGGAACTTTGGAGTGAAATACGGACCCGGTAGGGGACTGGCCCTAATCCTCCCTGGAAGGAGTGACCCAAGATTATGGGTAATCTGATGGGGAAACTGAAAAGACTGTGTTTGGTGTAATGGGCATGGGTGAGAGGCTGTCGCAGAGATAAGTAGAAGGGAAGAGATCCCCAGGTGGTGGAAACACTGCCCATCATGGGCTGGCTACACGGAGTAGGCAGCTAGGGATCAAAAGTGTTGAGTGAATATTAGAAACCCTGATAGGTGGGTTGGGAGGAGCCACTTGACTGGAAGGGGAGTTGCTGGCAAAGTATATGAACTGAGGCCTGATCCAGAGCAGACAGTCTAGACCTGCAGGGAGCAGGAAGAGGAGCTCTGCCCAGGGGCCTGCAGAGAATGACTGCCAGAGGTCTGAGTGGTTCTGGGTCAGACTGGAGTATGGGGTACTCTGGGCTTACATTCTGGTTATGGACTATTAAAGATAGCCAGTGGGCTTATGTTTTGTTGATGTCTGATAACGTAGATATTATATGAGGATGTAAACTCTACAATATTTGGTGGTTTGGAAAGAACTGTAGGGATGATGGAGGCTGCATAGTGCCTTGTGGGCATGTTGAGAGGGGGCCTGGGAGGGGCAATTCCATAGCGCCCAGGGGGGTGATCTGATGGTGCCTCAGGGTTTGCATCAAGAGAAGGTCCCATACTTGGGGGGGGAACCAGGAGGCAGTAGGATGCATCACGAGAAGATCTGGTGCTGGTGGGAGGAAGGGGCAGGAGGGTCCAGTGCCTAAGAGGTACTAAGGCAAATTGAGAAGATTTTCCAGTGCTCGCAGGAGACCTGGAGGGTCTAGGACAGAATTGGAGGTTGAGGGAAAACAGCTTTGCCCAGGGATAAGAAGACACAGGGGAGCTGTGGCCCAGTAGTCATTGAAGCTTGGGCCAAAGCCCAGAAGAGGCCAAATCAGGGCCAGGGGCCCCAGACCCAGAGTAAGATTTGGAGGTAGGACAGCTTTGCCCTGGGCAAAGGAGCCCCGGACAAGGGAGCTGTGTCCCTGTAGTTCCCTAAGTTTGTGCCTAACCAA